AAAAAACAAACAAACAAACAAAAACAAACACCAGAACCAGTCACCCTGGGGCCACAAATTTCACAATTTTGGAAGAGGCCTCCTTGCTTGTCATAACCATGCATTTAGTTTATCTGCTAAATATACAGGGGGAGAGAAGAAGATTTTAAAAGAATTTTGTGCATTTTCACTATATGATCTATATAGCCCCAACCTAGCACCAGAACCCCTGACCCTGGGGCCATGAATTTCACAATTTTGGTAAAGGGCTCAATGCTTATTACAATCATGCCAACAGTTTGACTGCTTGATGTCCAGGAATAAGGAAGAAGATTTTTAAAGATAGCACTAAATTTGATGGTTTTAGCCCCAACCCTCAGGCCCCAGGGGGCAGGGATCATGAATTTCATGATTTTTGTACCCCTTCATCCATTGATGCTATATGCCAAAATTGGTTGAAATTAGTTCAGTGGTTTAAGAGAAGAAGCTGAAAATGTTCTAAAGTTTATGACCGATGCATGTTGCATGACGGCAGACAAAAACAGATAGCATTATTACCTAACCTACTATATAAATTGTAATTAGGCATTTTGAACTGTTTCCTGATTCTTTTTAATGTTTTTGCAAATCATGAAACAGTCAAAACTGTTTACCCGGTCACAGAATGAACTGTTGCATGGCTGAACTGTTCCATTATGACGTCATAGTTAATTTCACGTACTTTACAGCTATAATATTGAATTATATATAAATTGAAGCATTTTTATTCAATTTGAAATTATCATCTGAAAAGTAAACCTGATACCAATTTAAATATATATTCAATTTAATATCATTTCAAAGAAGAGGCCATGAACACCTTTTCTGAGGGTAGTTTGGGAAAAATGTAGGCCCCTTTCATTCAGTATAGATCTTTGCCATAAACGTGCAATATTCAAATCTTTAAGACATCATTATGTTGTTTACTACATGCTTTTTTTTTTCAATTTATTAGTGCATGATAATATCACACCCATTAATTTTTCTGATTTTACACCAATCGGTGTGAATATTTGATTAATATTCATCTTGTTTAGTTTGGTTTTAAAAAATAATACAAACTTTTGTCAATGTATTTTAAAAGCCATTGATTATTATGTCGATATCATTACTTTAAGAAATTATATAGTAGGTTAGGTAATAAAACACTTATTTCATGACAACTCGGGAAACAGTCAAACTGTTGTCCCTCGATAATGGGGAAGACCTGGGAAACTGTTGCCCTCGGCCTTTGGCCTCGGGCAACAGTTTCCCAGGTCTTCCCCATTACCTCGGGACAACAGTTTGACTGTTCCCCTCGTAGTCATGAAATAAGTGTATAATAGGTTATCTGAGCGACTCAGGTGACCTAAAAATATGAAAATTTACGTCTCCTGGGTGAAGTGATCAGGCCCCAGGGTTGGGCTAAGTTGGTCATATTTTGAAAATACATTGCACCTTTGAAAATCTTCATGTTTACTCATGGCTGTATGGCAGACATAATTATGATAAACACTACATCCTCTTCCAAAGTTGTAAAAATTCATTCTCCCTTGGCCCAAAGTTCTAGGTCATAGCGATTTAAATGCTGTATTGAAAATAAATTACATCTTTGAAAATCTTCTTCTGAATCACTACTCATGAACATAATAAGCACGTAGCCCTCTACAAAATTATGAAATTCATGTCCTTCTGGTACAAGAGATGAGGTGGACCCAGGTTGGAACTAAGTTGGTCATATATTGAAATTTATTATATAGTGTATCTTATTAGTCCCCTACCGGTGAAACCGGAGGGGACTATAGGTTTCCTCTGAGTCTGTCCGTCCATCTGTCTGTCTGTCTGTCCGTCTGTCCCTCTGTCTGTCTGTCAGTCTGTCCCACTTGGTTTTCCGCACTTTTTTCCTAAACGCTTGCAGATATCGAGCTGATTTTTGGTGTGTAAGTGTATCTTGATGAGTTACAGATCAAGTTTGCATTTCGTTCCGCTTCATTGATTTTTGACTGAATTACGGCCTTTTCAATTTTTAGGGGTTTTCCGCAATTTTCTTCTAAACGCTTGTAGATATTGAGCTGATTTTTGGTATGTGGCTTTACCTTGATTAGTTATAGATCAAGTTTGCATTTCGTCCCGCTTCATTAATTTTTGACGGAATTATGGCACTTTCAATTCTTAACGGGAACGGAACCAGATTACACTTGCCGGTAGGGGACTAGTATTGCTAATGCAATACTCTCAGAATGCTTGTTTTCTTTACTCCTGAACTTATAAGAGACAAGCAGTATAAATATGACAATAATTATAGAGTCCTCATCAAACTGTAAAAATGTATGCGATATAAGTCTAGGCCAGTTCCAGTTGGGCCCTACGTGGCCATACCTTGTGAAAATCATGTCTACTCAGGTGACAGTCAAGAACCTAGGAGCCTCTTGTTTTCAATATAGTTTGTCCAGAAAATTTCACTACTTGTCTCTGGATGCAATAATGGAGACATTTCTCTTTATCTCAGTAATAGTTTTGGAATGAAAACAACTACACCATCCTATGAAAAAGGGCATTCATTCTGAAAATTATTGCTTTTTGAATGTAGTGATAGGGATTTTGTTGTAGTGAGTATTGGTATGAGTTTAGTGCTCCCAAATAGTTCCCACAGACTTCCTGACAGATCCCTAGGATCAGCCAGGATATGTCTCTCTGATTAGGGACTACATATTCACTGTCAGCATGGAAGAGCAGATTGTGGAGGTCCTGTAGAGATTGTTGTGACCTGACTGTGTCACCCAGTCTGTGGTGAGTCAGTACAAACAACATATGTAACATCACTAATGGAGGGATGTGTAATATACCATCACCGCTCATCTTATTGGCCTTTTGTTCAAATACCAGCTCATTGATATAAGTGTATTTACTAAATAACATTATGGTGTTTGTTACAGCTTTTCTCATCCTACCGCTCAGTGATACCCCTGCCATTGCGCGTCTGTACATCTCTACATTACAATATCTATGCGTAACATAGGGTTTTGACATCCTTTTTTGTGCTGCATGTAAACATTTCAGTGATTGGTCATATCTATGAGTTCTGTAGTAATACATAGCTAGATACAGAATATCTGATACATAACCTATCTTGGAAGAAAGTTTTAACAATGAAATTTTCTCTGTATTGTAAAGGAATCTGTTGCTAGACGTACTGGTATATGAAATGTTCTGTATATGATATGCTGTTTTCTGTAACACGTGTGCTGTCATCATCTGTAAAGTTACCATCTGATATGGTGTCAGACTTCCTTGGATTAATCTCTCTATTTCCTTCATGCAAACTGCAAAATCTCTCATATCTGATATGGGTACACATAATGAAAATAATTCTCTGAAGAAATGAAGATCTAAGGTGAGGAATTTTTCAGATCCTGCTCCGATTGTCAAGATCCCATTTAAGATAACTTGACTGAGGTAAGAACTAATTGTAGGACTCAACAGAAGGCATGGCAAACCCTTCCAATAAAAATCACGCAATTGACAGAATAATGAAAGCTGCACACTACCGATCACTTTTACTCTAAACATATTGTTTTCTGGAATGAAAAAGTTGGGACATTCCCCAATATGCACCCAATGTATCAATAATTTGAAACACTTCCAAAAACAAAACAGCAAGTTTTCAGGTGTCCAAGACAAGGAATCATCATTCTGAATCACCCAAAACAGAATCGTTTTCATAAAATATGAACAAAGTACAGGCCTTTCATTTTTCACATTAATTACTTCCTTCAGAAATATTTTCATGAGACCATAACATAAAAACTGACAATGATTCATGGAATACACAAGTTTTTGTTCAGCTTGCGAGAATGAGATTCTCCATTCATTTTCTTCAAAGGAGGTACTGCCAATTGGTACAACATGAAATCCATCCTTCAGAATATCACTCATCACAGTTTCTGATGGCCACCCTTTTTGTTGACATCTCTGTATCCACGGTAAAGCTTTCTTTGGCCAATGATGTGAGTGGAGACAAAAAGCATTATCATATTCATGGGTATTTCTGAAGACAAATGATTGACAAGGACCATGTTGGATTATAGAAGGTGTAACAACACTGGGTTCCATAAAGTGAAGCAGATAGAATGTGCGAAACAGAGAACTGGAAATATATATTCTATTGTTCATAACTACACATGAACAAATAATATCCATCACATCTGTAGGGGTGAGCAGCTGTAGCCTGGTGAATCCTGGCGGCAGATCCTCACATTTCATCATTATTATTGAGTGCTGTGGTTTAGGGTAGAGACTAATATGACAGGTATCGCAGATCACTTTGAGGTTATTGTTCCATAACATTATATCTTTATCTGAAGTATTTAGTCTAAATCCTTCACGGTAACTCCCACTATACATCAGGCAAATTCCTCTCATGGTCCCTCTTTGTCCCGTCACTGCCTCCCAAATATCCTGAACCTGCCTCCTCATTTCAATCTCAGCGGCAGTTCCGACTTTAAGACACAATCCATATACACATTCCTTGATAGACGAGGAATGTGATCCATGCTTACAAGTTATGAACAATTCTTTAAACAATTAATGTTATTTATACTGTTTGAACTTCCTGATTTAGAAGAAATCCCAGATGTGGAAGTTTTCAGGCCAAAGTCCCATACCCCATGTAATTTAAAAAAAAAAACAAGGAATTATTCCGAATATGTCACAAGTTAGGGATTTTTTGTTTTGATTCAAAATGGTTATAAAATTTTAAATAATTTACCACCCACCAAGAAGTCAATGAAAATTTAGAGAATGTGGTCTACAAGTAGTACATTGATTCAGTATTACTTTACTTAACAATGTATAACAATTAAAGTTAAATAATCAACTGCCAAAATCTTAATTTCTAGTTTGTGGTGGTAAATTTAATAAGAAATTGCTGAATATTGACAAAAATCCAACACATCCTTTATTTACCATTCAAAATCAATACATGTACTGAAAACAGAACAATGTTTTGAAAAGGAAGAATTTAATAGTAAATAGATATACATGTATATATAGTAACAGGGAATACAATCTGACCAAATACACTCACTCAACTGATTATAATGTAGGCTGCTTCCGGAAGGGCTAGAGAAAAAGCACAACAATTATAATTTTAAAAAGTCTTCTTTAATTGACAGTTTGATCTTTTTTTTTTGCTTGGACTTCTTGTATATCAAATGTTACATTGGATATGGTATTTTTCACTTTGGTCCCTATACATTAATCTCCTTGGTTTGTCATACTGCTATGATATAAAACTTTTGAAAATTTTATTTCCAATGTAATGAAATATAAATATCTGCCAACTTAGTTATAATATCAATAAAAGCTTGATTTACTTAAAGCAAGCCATTGTGTAAAATTCTATATCGTACATCTCTCCAGACAGAGGTGTGGAATATAAAATATGAATTGGTTTCCTCCTGACTTAACTAATTCCACACTGACCTGTTGGAACAGAGTGTTTTTACTTAAAATATCTTTTTGAGATAAAAATTATAGAAAAATTTCTTGTTCAAATGATGCATTTAACAGGATATTAAAACATTATACATGCATTATGGAAAGTTATACATTTCTAGCTTTACAGAGAACAATTTATACCAATCTTCACTTTAGTCAGGACCATTAAATACAACTTATATTGCATGTATTTTTTTTAAAGAATTTTTATTTAATGTAACTTACTTCATTCACATATAAACAATTTTAAAATGCCTATATATCATACTCTGGCAGAAAATTGAAATAAAGAAGTATCCGATTTTGTTGTGCATGTGTGCACATTAATTATGCCTTACTAATCATGTATATCCTGGGATCAAAGAAGATTTCAATCAACACTTAATAATTAACATTTCAATATTATACAGCCTAAAATTTATTATATGGAATTTTTGTTTTATAGAGGAATTAATATAATAAGTTCCACAGAGAAATTAACGTTCGGTTCAAAATAGGAATAAACACAATTGGGTCAGTATTTGAAAGGTTGATACATTTATTGACTGGTTTTGAGGGCATTAATATGGGTTTTGTCGGATCCAAGAACCAAACTGTTTGCCTGAGGCCATTAAATGTAACAATGGAATGTAGTTATTAAACATTTCACGATTCAGTTTAATTCATTAATCAATGAAAATTCATTGTCCACTTAAAAGAAACAGACTTCAGATTGATATGTTCATGAAAAAATCTGGTCCCTGACAAAAATTCAAATACTTAATTTGCTTCAGTTAAACTGTAAAAATGCACTAACTTTCAGATAAAAATTCAGAAGACCTAATATTGTTTTCTTTTGAAATCTACTGATGGTCTTATATAAATATCTTTGATATTTCCATAAAAAATGCAAATTAAAAGAAAAAACTTCATTAAACTTGGTTTTAAAACAAAGCAGCTAATAAATCTCTGTCTGTAAGGTCTCAGTGTAAAAATTACAAAATGAATCTATTTATAAACAGAATATCAAGTGTGACTATACCCACATCACAACAACTGGTTATATATACATCTGAGAAACAAACGAGACATAAACAATGCCTCATCACCATGGCACCAAATAAATTCAAATGAGATCACTGCTTATAACACATCCATCAAACCAACTCATTCTGACTAAAATTATGTCATTTTTAAAGCCATGTTTATGAACTTTTACTGCTTTCTAATGAATTCTTAAGGTTATAGATTTTAAGCTGATCACAGATTGAATGGTCCGGTTTTGTCTTTTATGAGAGAAAAAGTACCCATGATGCACTGGTTAATTTGTGGATATTTCCTGTAATGTGGTATTGCAATCTTTCATGGAAAATCACCGGTTTTTTGCACTAACAGAAGATACATGTATTAATAATTTAATATACTTTTCTGGATGTGAAAGCGCAGCTAGCTTAATTCAACAATCAAAATGCGTTTTGAAACGCTTTTATCTATATAAACTTCCTAAATCAACAACAGCTAGTACATCCAGTCTTCGATGTTTTCTCCAGCACACAGAAATGCTTAAATGACCACAGTATTGAGAGTTTGGAATGGATCGTTGAGAGGGACTTGTGGTTCCCAGACAAAAGCTTTACGCTGATTGGCTCTTTCCAATAGGAGCTCCCATAATGCCTTTCCGTCAAGATGGATTGAGGGAGACATTGGACAAACGAGATTGCTTGGGTTCTATTTCCAGGGAAGCTCGGTATGTTTGGTCATCGTCAAGGAGACGGTTTGTGTCCAGCAGGTAATTGGTTACCTATCAAAGAAATTTAAACATGCTTTCAATTATATTTGTCCAACTTTTACAGTGATTGCAATTAAACATGTAATTGAGGAGTAATCTACCAAAAACATGTGCAAGAAAAGCATGCACCCCTATTCTCTTTCAATTTTCTGAAAAATTGTTCTTCATAAAATCTTTACATTAATTAAAATTGTTTATCTAAGTGCCAACCTAAACCAAATCTGTGTCACTGTTGATAAACAATACATGTACTATTACTGGCAACTTAGTCAAGGAAGGTATATTGAGTTCTACTTACTCTAGAAATATGTTCTATTTTGTTCTACTTACTCTAGGAATATGTTCTATTTTGTTCTACTTACTCTAGGAATATGTTCTATTTTGTTCTACTTACTGGAGGAATATGTTCTATTTTGTTCTACTTACTCTAGGAATATGTTCTATTTTGTTCTACTTACTGGAGGAATATGTTCTATTTTGTTCTACTTACTCTAGGAATATGTTCTATTTTGTTCTACTTACTCGAGGAATATGTTCTATTTTGTTCTACTTACTGGAGGAATATGTTCTATTTTGTTCTACTTACTGGAGGAATATGTTCTATTTTGTTCTACTTACTGGAGGAATATGTTCTATTTTGTTCTACTTACTGGAGGAATATGTTCTATTTTGTTCTACTTACTGGAATATGTTCTATTTTGTTCTACTTACTCTAGGAATATGTTCTATTTTGTTCTACTTACTCCAGGAATATGTTCTATTTTGTTCTACTTACTCTAGAAATATGTTCTATTTTGTTCTACTTACTGGAGGAATATGTTCTATTTTGTTCTACTTACTAGAGGAATATGTTCTATTTTATTCTACTTACTGGAGGAATATGTTCTATTTTATTCTACTTACTCTAGAAATATGTTCTATTTTGTTCTACTTACTGGAGGAATATGTTCTATTTTGTTCTACTTACTAGAGGAATATGTTCTATTTTGTTCTACTTACTCTAGGAATATGTTCTATTTTGTTCTACTTACTCCAGGAATATGTTCTATTTTGTTCTACTTACTCTAGAAATATGTTCTATTTTGTTCTACTTACTGGAGGAATATGTTCTATTTTGTTCTACTTACTAGAGGAATATGTTCTATTTTATTCTACTTACTAGAGGAATATGTTCTATTTTGTTCTACTTACTGGAGGAATATGTTCTATTTTATTCTACTTACTCTAGAAATATGTTCTATTTTGTTCTACTTACTGGAGGAATATGTTCTATTTTGTTCTACTTACTCTAGGAATATGTTCTATTTTGTTCTACTTACTAGAGGAATATGTTCTATTTTGTTCTACTTACTGGAGGAATATGTTCTATTTTATTCTACTTACTGGAGGAATATGTTCTATTTTGTTCTACTTACTGGAGGAATATGTTCTATTTTGTTCTACTTACTGGAGGAATATGTTCTATTTTGTTCTACTTACTCTAGGAATATGTTCTATTTTGTTCTACTTACTCGAGGAATATGTTTTATTTTGTTCTACTTACTCTAGGAATATGTTCTATTTTGTAAGGTGTTTGTTGAAAAAGACGTATCTCCCTTATTACATGAGCTATCTGAAAAAAAATTGAGAATTAAACTCTACAGCGTAACTGAAAAAGTCAACAATCATCCAATTTTGGCACTATTTAAATACATTGTGAGTTATTTCCCTTACATCTTAAGAACTGCATTAAAATAAAAAATCACTGCATTTTTTTTATTACAAAAATATATCATCAGTATACAAGAAAGGTGAAATCTAGCCATTTTTTTTAATGAATTTTCAGAAAATATTAAATGGTTGGTCCATATATTACATATGATTTTGCATACCGTTCTCATTTTGGAGAAGTTGACGAGTCCTTCTTCTGTATTTCCTGGAATACCTTCCTCTATTATTGACAGATCTGTCAGGTACATGCCGAGGTAAGGGATGCAGGGAGGATCACATCTGTAATGTATGATCATTATGTGTAAATCAAGAGAACCTGACAGGACAATGCTTACTGCTTTATAATCTATTAAACTCAACTTTATTGGGAATTTTTAAATTCAGCTATAATGCAGTAATGCTTCCCCTGCTCTCACTTACCTGTGCAATGCATCCCTCATGTTTTTAAATCTTCCATTGGAAGACACTAAATCTTGCAGTTTTTCTATGGTTTGCTTTGTCTGAAAGACAACAAAAACAAACATTCTGTTCTAAATGAACTTTTCATGGAAAATGAATGAAATATATATCACTGACAGACAGGCTCTTTACCAAAAACCCTCCCACTTCCAGATGCAAATCTCCCCCTCCCTTTCTCCAAACAAACAAGAAACATATATTAAATATACAAAACATGTTTTGAGGGACAACAAGAAGTCTGTGAGCCAATGCTCACTAATAATACCCCCGCTCTGATGTGAATACACAAGTTCAGTTATGGACAAACACAGTGATAACCAGGAAATTGACATCGGATTTGTAAAAACTGAATCCCAACATATGGCATGCCTAAACAAAGAAAAAATTTCAAGCATCTGCGATGAGTAGTTGCTGAGAAAACTGCGACCAAAATTTATTATGTATGGTACAGACAGACGCACGGATAAACAGGAAGTTGACATCGGATTTGTTTCAAAAATGAATCCTATTATATGGCATGCCTAAACAAAGATTGTGCTAAAATTTCAAGCATCTGCAATGAGTAGTTGCTGAGAAAACTACGACCAAAATTTGTTATGTATGGTACGGACAGACACACAGATAAACAGGAAGTTGACATCGGATTCGTACAAAAATGAATCCCACCATATGGCATGCCTAAACAAAGAGTGTGTTAAAATTTCAAGCACCTATGATGAGTATTTGCTGAGAAAACTGCGACCAAAGTTTGTTATGTGTGGTACGGACAGACGCACGGATAAACAGGAAGTTGACATCGGATTAGTACAAAAATGAATCCCACCATATGGCATGCCTAAACAAAGAGTGTGTTAAAATTTCAAGCACCTGTGATGAGTAGTTGCTGAGAAAACTGCGACCAAAGTTTGTTATGTGTGATACGGACAGACGCACGGATAAACAGGAAGTTGACATCGGATTCGTACAAAAATGAATCCCACCATATGGCATGCCTAAACAAAGAGTGTGTTAAAATTTCAAGCACCTCTGATGAGTAGTTGCTGAGAAAACTGCGACCAAAGTTTGTTACGGACAGACAGACAGACGGACAGACAGACAGACAGACAGACACACAAGGGTAAAACAGTATACCCCCCTCTCCTTCGGAGCGGGGGTATAATAATAATTATTTACATATCTATATCTCTACTCATCTCTTCTATAAGTTACTAACAGATTTGGGGATTTTCTCCCACGTTTTCTTTAGTCGATACACAGAGCTGTTGACAAAGGCAGCACAAATCTGCAGGACCCCGTTGTAGTTGTTCATACAGCGACAGATATCAGCAATGGCTGCCCATTTCTCTATACATGCCACCCGTTCCTGGAGCACGGATCTTCTCACTATTTCCGATACTACCAAACGACTGACTTCATTAAATCGTTTGCTCACTAACAAAACATGAGGGGCCTTTGTTGCCTTCTCTGCCTTCATCCAGGCTTGACTAAGTAACTCCCTGTAATATTTTTAAAGTACATAAACAGTCCTTATTGTAAAAAAAATCATCTATATGTAGTCTTTGCTCTTCTATAAATATATTATATTTAGCTTTACATGTACCAACTTTTTGTTGGAAACTGATTTTTCAACAAGTTAGCATAGATTTGATTTAGTGTATTTATAAATGTAAGCTGTATCAAGCGACCTCTCAAGGGAAATCCTAATATGGTCACATATCATAGACAATCTCTTAAAGCAGGGAATCATTCTAGCAATTTTCAAACTACATTCATGAATAAATAATAGTAATACGTGTCCTTGTTAACTTGTTTTCCTGTTCCCTACCCTTTGTCATAAGTTTTGAATCATTTTCATTCTTTTTGGTAAAATATATTCAGAAAAAATTTCATTTGTACAAATTGTTTTTATTCCTAATTGTGTTACATGTAATTGTCAATTTTATTTTTTGAAAGAAAATCCAAAAACAGATTCATTTTTTTTTTCATGTTCCACACTTTTACGACAGTGTTAAGGATAAAAACTACATATGACAAGATTATACAAGTAAGGGAAGAACTAAACATTACAATAATCACGAAGAAAACATGTGACCTTTTTATGACAAATGTAAACAAGTTTTAAAAAATTCTAGTTGAAACCATTTCAGAGTTTATAATTACTTTTAAAAAGTTTATAATATTAATAATATTGATATTAATAAGTTTCTATCTGATACCAAGTCACAAACTGTGAAATATTCCATTAATGAGTACGTTTTTGCTAACATCTTTCTGCAAAAAAGGGGCAAGGGCCAAAAAAAGGATGGTCAAATATTGCATTAGTTAGGGAGTTGCTAAATTCAGGTAGAATATTATGAAAAAAATTCATGGGTTACATATGACAGGAAGTTGCTAAATACAGGTGGTTACTATGATTTGACAGTATATTCAAATACGTGTATATAACATGGCATTTTGCGATATATTTAATTTAAAGCTTCTTTGAGCCAAAGGGACTAAGTATGCCTTTACATTGCCAAACATTTCCAGTGACCAAGCACTGAGAAATAAACAGGTAAAAACAAAATTCTATGTATATATCGTGGCAAAATTTTTTAAAAAGAAAAACGTGAAAGAAACAAAATATAGGATTATTCTGTACACTTACTCGCTGCGGATGCTGATGAAAATTTTGTGGTCTAGATAGGTCAACTGTTCAGCAATGTCCATGGCTGACAAGGTGTCAAAGTTCTCCTTGGTTGAAATCTGATATAAAAAGAAAAATTTTTATGTGATGCAGACAAAACCAGATTTCTGTCAACATGGTCTTATAAAAAAACATATTTAGATTAGTAATGTAAGCTTGGATATTTTGCTGTTTCATATCTGTATATATAACAATTAACTGCAGCATCAGTTTGTTTCTGGCCTACCTCTGGTGCTTGTATATATTTAAACAATAAAATCCTTTCTTTGGTTGTTAGTACAGGAATTAATGTTGAAGCTCACGTTGCAGAAAAAATGCAAAACCCACATAAGCGGGTTATGTATTGTTTTATTTTTTTTTGCAATAGCTGCAACATTAATTTCCAAACTAACAAACAAAGAAAGACATTTTATTTTTTATAATTATATCTGTGCAAATATTCATTTAAAATAGGATTTAGTAGATGAAATAGTGTATTATTGATATGCACATCATTGTACGTTTCATTGATGGAACAGCTAATATGCTCCAGAAAACTATGGAGGTGATATGCTTAAGTGGTGTTTACGGACTGATGAATGGTAATGGTTTTCTTAAGAAATAAAGGAGATAATATTCAATGGATGTAAATATATAATAATTAACTGCAGCATCAGTTTGTTTCTGGCCTACCTCTGGTGCTTGTAACAGTTTCTCAAGATCTACTTTGTTTTTCTGCTCTGCAGAATCTTTAGCGATTGTTCTTAGTAGTGACAGTGCTACCTGTTAACAAACAACACATATTGCTCAAGGTTTTAAAAAATTCTATCATTAAAAAGACAATGACAACGTAAACTGCAAATAATTAAATTAATATTTTGCAGAATTTTATTCTTATTCATTCTTTCATGTCATTTACACATAAAATAGAGGCAAAATTTGTAAGAATGCTTAATCAAAATACCAGACTGAGAATAGATAAATATAGTTAATCAGAAATCCGCAAACTCACGTTATCTATATGCAAAACAGTCTTACACCAAATGAACATTCTGCAACATCCATACAAGTTTGGTCAAGTTAGGGCTTATAGTTACTTGGGAAAGGACCAGCATCTCCAGAAATTGAGACTGTTCAATCATCTTTGAAATGTAAGTCTGAAGCAGTTACCAAGCAAGTTTGAATGTGTGCTTCTCAGATGTATCTTCCATAAAAATTTGATCAGGTTTGGACTTATGTTCAATTGCTCAAATGCAGCATCCAAAGCATTAGTCTATTAGTTTGCATCACTAGATGCATCACTTATAGGGCATTTTGTCTAGGATGGGTTTACAGGTCAAAATAAGAGGCCCAAAGGCCTTAATGGTCATCTGAGTATAACACAATCCTGTTAAGGATCCAACATATAATAACACAGTAACACAAAAACTCAAACTTATATACAAGAGAAAAGAGAAATAGGATGATAAGGGATTGTGCAAAATAGCAATCCAGTAATCAGCAACAATTCAAAAACTAGCCTGTATACCGGTATGTATATGCCAATGCTATCTATACTCTATCACTATTATCAAGTGTTAAAAGATAGTTGTTCTTTAGCATTCATCGTAAATCTAGCATGGTGTCCAAACCAATTACCTCTCTTGGTCTTTGAATAATATTTAATGTACGTATATAAGGTATTTTGTCTCATTTTTATTCATCTTTCATTTACAAGTCTACCCAACTACCAAAAATCATGAAATTACTTTTTGTATTATACATAAAAAATTCTTGTATTATTCTTTATTTCAATTTACCTATCAATTACATTATTTATGGTGATAAATTAATTTAGGTGAATAACAAAAGGTAATAATTTCTCTTAAAGCAGAGTAAAAATCTCCATACATGTTCATAATAGAACCCACACTTACTCAAGAACCCCTGACTCAGGGGTCATGAATTTCTCCATTTTGGAAGAAGCACCCTTGCTCATCATGCACTTAGTTTGTCTGCTTAATACCCAGAAAAAAGATTTTCAAAGAATTAATGTATTTTCACTACATGCATGATCAATATAGGCCTAGCCTAACACTACAATCCCTGACCCATGAATATCACAATTCTGGAAGAAGCACTCTTGCTCCAGAACAATGCACTTATTTTGTCTGCTAAATACTGAATGCTAAATAATCAACAGAGCCCCCATCCTAACACTACAACCAGGGGCCATGAATTTCTCAATTTTGGAAGAGGCACCCTATCTTATCATATCTATGCACTTTGTTTGTTTAATACACAGGAGGAGAGAAGATTTTTAAAGAATTTATGCATTTTCACTGCTTGATCAATAGAACCTCATCCTAACACCAGAACGCCTGACTCTGGGGCCATTAATTTCACAATTTTGGTAGAGGATTCAATGCTTTTTACAATCATACCAACAGTTTGAGTACTCGATGTCCAGGAGTACAGAGGAAGATTGTTAAAGATTTCATTAATTTTGATGGTTTTAGTCCTACCCCTCAGACCCCAGAGGAGCAGGGACTATGAAATTCACAATTTTTGTTCCCCTTCACCCATATATATGCTATTATCAAAACTGGTTGAAAATGGTTCAGCAGTTTCAAGGAAGAAGCTGAAAATGTTCAAATGTAAACACAAAATTAAAAACAGATAGCAATAGGTCGGTTGATTGACTCAAGTGATCAAAAATAAATTTAACGTGGTCACTCCAGAAAAAGTAGGTGTGGTGTGCATCCCAAGATGCACTGCCCATGCAAGTTTGGTCCACATAGGGTTTCTTGGAAATGGACTTGCTACAGAAACATTAACTGGGACAATGGAAGTATAGCATACATTCATCTCAACTTTTTGAACTATAACTAAAACATATTCTGCATGAATATGTAAACAGTTATAGTCTAGTTATACAATGTATTAACTTTCACTGATGTATAATTGTAATAAAACCATAAGACCTTTAAGTATTTGTACGGGTATCTGATTATGCTATATAAACGTAACTCATAATTTCTGCTTATAACTACCTTATGTTCCGCTGGATTCAGCATGGTGTTGCAGGCCATTTCCTGTAACATATCTACAACAGCAGCCTTCAATTCCTTGTCACATTCAAAGTCCTGATGATAAATGTGTTATAAGTAGTTATTTAAGCCAAATCTTTTCAAATCTTTACATTGAGAATCTGTTGTTATGGTTACCTGTTGATGCTTCGACACCCAGTGTTTGATGATGTTAAGGACTCTCATTGTGGCAGCTGTACTAATGACAGACTCACGTTTCTTCACTACTCGACTTGACTGTTCTAAAAATTCACAAATTATAAACTGAACATTTATGCAAATAGCATATTTTCTCTATTCACATACGAGGGTTGTTAGAAAAGTTTGCGGACAAGTTCTATTGTGAGCGCGCTTTGCATGAAATCAGTAAAACTCTGCAGGTAAAAACTATACGTATTTTCCAATTAATATGCAAAAATTTGGTGTTTTCCGATGATCTTTAAAAAATAAACAGCGAAATTATTTAGATAAAATATGCTTCACGGAGCATGTTACTTTTTCGCACTTTTACATTTCAGAGACATGATTTTGAAATTAAAAATTGCACTGTTGTAGCACATAAAGATTTATGATATTTCACCTCTCGCTAAGATATTTATGAAACATCATTTGGTGAAATTTTGAATTAAATTGGAGGAGTTATGACTATTTTATCATTAATTATAGATGATCAAAGCGTAAAAACAAAGCCAAGAAATGGTAACGTCATTGAACGTCTTGGAGCACCGAGCTATTAAAAATATGTGTGCAGACAGGAAAATGCCCGAAAGAGACTAAAATGTTTTTAGATGCTGTTGGGGATGGCTTACACGTATCTAGTACCAAAGTGTTCAAGTGGTAGCAACTTTGTAAGAATTAATGGAAGGATGGGCATTTTTGATTATCAACTCCTGCGATACCCCAATATCCTGCTCATCGCATGGACGTTGCGCCTATGGATTTTGCATTGTTTCTCATATCTGATCGCTGAACTGCGTAGACATTGTTTTAAAGATCTCACTAATATCCGATACGCCACAAAAGACATTAAAAAACATATAACATGTCTTGATATACTTATTTAATTTTTAAGTCAGAAAAGGACACGAAAAGTCTGTAGATATGAAAGTTATTTACAACTGTGAAAAATCTTCACAGGTCTGGAATCAGGTTGTCACGTCACCTACCGTCATAAAACGTCAAGTGATTGCTCCGTGAATCCAATGACCGCGCAGTAAAAATCGAAGTATACTTTCAAAATTTTAGTAAATGGACATGATCTTTTACATACTAATAAACAAAAGATAAGAATTTAATTAGACATACATCATTCTTCAAAGTTTACAATATATTTTCCTTAAATCAAGGTGTCCGCGAACTTTTCTAACAACCCTCGTATGCTATAAAATCACGTTCTCCCATATGTTATAAAAGCATATTGTTCCTTTTTAGATATACTAATAGGATATTCTCCCTAATATTCAAATACATGTATAGTATAATGGCTATATTCTCCCTACTCACATGTACTCTAGTAGCATATTCACATTTTCAAAATTCTAAGATGTATGTATCTAACCTGAGGTTAGGAAGTGAGGGGATCTAATCTGAGGTTAGGAAGTGAGGGGATCTAACCTGGCATTAGGAGGTGAGGGGATCTAACCTGAGGTTAGGAAGTGAGGGGATCTAATCTGAGGTTGGGAAGTGAGCTAGGGGATCTAACCTGAGGTTAGGAAGTGAGGGGATCTAACCTGAGGTTAGGAGGTGAGGGAATCTAACCTGATGTTAGGAGGTGAGGGGATCTGACCTGAGGTTAGGAAGTGAAGGGATCTAACCTGAGGTTAGGAAGTGAGGGGATCTAATCTGAGGTTAGGAAGTGAAGGGATCTAACCTGAGGTTAGGAAGTGAGCTAGGGGATCTAAGCTGAGGTTAGGAAGTGAGGGGATCTAACCTGAGGTTAGGAAGTGAAGGGATCTAATCTGAGGTTAGGAAGTGAAGGGATCTAACCTGAGGTTAGGAAGTGAGGGGATCTAACCTGAGGTTAGGAAGTGAGGGGATCTAACCTGATGTTAGGAGGTGAGGAGATCTGACCTGAGGTTAGGAAGTGAAGGAATCTAACCTGAGGTTAGGAAGTGAGGGGATCTAATCTGAGGTTAGGAAGTGAAGGGATCTAACCTGAGGTTAGAAAGTGAGGGGATCTAATCTGAGGTTAGGAAGTGAGGGGATCTAACCTGAGGTTAGGAAGTGAAGGGATCTAACCTGAGGTTAGGAAGTGAGGGGATCTAATCTGAGGTTAGGAAGTGAGGGGATCTAATCTGAGGTTAGGAAGTGAAGGGATCTAACCTGAGGTTAGGAAGTGAGGGGATCTAATCTGAGGTTAGGAAGTGAGGGGATCTAACCTGATGTTAGGAGGTGATGGGGATCTGACCTGAGGTTAGGAAGTGAGGGGATTTAACCTGAGGTTAGGAAGTGAGGGGATCTAACCTGAGGTTAGGAAGTGAAGGGATCTAACCTGAGGTTAGGAAGTGAAGGGATCTAACCTGAGGTTAGGAAGTGAGGGGATCTAACCTGAGGTTAGGAAGCGAGGGGAGGATTGTGTTTGTTTTTGCTGAGCTGTCTGCTGACTGCCTGTTGCTGTGGAGACCTGTTGCTGACGACCTTGTGCTGGTTGCTGGTCCTGTGAATTGACTGACCCTGCAGTTGCTGCAGCAAAAGCTGCCACTGCTGCTGAAGAACTGGACCTGAAAAAAGTCAGGTTTGCATTTCAGGTAATTATATTATAGAATTTCAGAGTGTTTATTTTTCCCACTTATCACACAAATGCTATTCTATGTACATACTGTATATACTGTACAATCAAACTGTGATATGACTCAGGAACGGGGGGGGGGGGGGGGGGGGAGGGGGGGGAGGGGGGGGGGACAGAAAACTTGAAAGATGTCTGCCAATTTGAGATACAGACGATGGATGGCAAGATTTAGGACCCTTAACTCAATTTGACATATTCACTGGTATAGAACATTTACCAATCAAGGTATCAAAGTTCTACTGTACATACCTTTCATAGCTTTTTACTTCATTTGGACAATTTGCTCTTTAAATCATTAACATTAAATTGTGCAAACAAAAATTATTTTACATTTTTATGTGTTGGTGAAATATTTCAAACAATATCGTTGCATGTGCATCTTTTTGAAATTTTATAAATGTTAGGTAGCAATATCATGGGTAGGTATAATTCTTGGATAAAATGGTACATAAAATTTATGCGAACTTCTTTCAATTTCAATCTTCTATGAAGAATCATAACATACAAAATCCATTTTTGTAATAAGTGGGTTGTTAATCTGTTGATAAAGATAAATCACAACTAGAAGTACTGTGAGGGAGCTCACAAAATAATACCCCCTGCTGCAATTTTTTTTCAAAGCACCCATGGGCAATTTTGTAAATGTGACTTTGAACTTGCCAAAATGACCTTAGTTAAAAGAAATGACACAATGCTCACAAAATAATACTGTAGATCACCAAATTTCCACAACACCTTATATTTTTGCAAGAAGACAAATGATATTTATTCATTAGCGAGACAAAATTTTCACAAGTTCTGGTTATGGTTGATTATAATCCTTAATAATAAAAATATACACAAGAGTGAAATTTTTGCGAGCAGACTGCCTCACAAAATGTGCGAAAATAAAGTTCTTGTGAATAAAAAATAATTTACAAACTCCCCGCAGCAATTTTGGAAATGTGACCTTGAACTTGCCAAATGACCTTGGTTAAAACTAAAAAGAAATGACACATCCTATGGTCATAAGCAATCTTTGTGTGAACTTTCAATGTTTCTGCATAAAGAAGTTGTAGACCACACAAAAATTTTATACTTTTTTCTGCCAGTGACCTTGAACTTGCAAAAGCAATCTTGGTTCAAGATCATGACACACCAACAGGTCATAAACAATCTTTATACCAAGTATGAGCTTCCATTGATTCTCCATTACAAAGATATAGTCTGGAGAAGAATTGTATACTTTTTCTGCCTGTGACCTTGAACTTGCCAGAATGACCTTGGGTTAAGATAGTGACAAACTATCAGGTCATAAACAACTCTTGTACCAAGTACGAGCTGCCAGTGTTTTCTATTACAATTTACAGCCTAGACAAGATTGAATGGACAGGCAGCTAGATGGACAGATGGAAAAGGTGATTTCCTATACCTCCCAAGCATCATTTGCAGGGGGTACATGATTACTATGTACATGTACTCATTTTACAAGAATTTATGTGAAATTTTACTAGAACACATATTTCAGAGTTTAAATATTGGACAGAAAATCACTTTTGTCAAGAACAACAGAAGTTTACATAACAAAATATACAACACATATCTATAATACTTTACAACAGTTAATAAAAGTTGAGAAAATATTAGTTGTCTGACTACCATTACTCAGTTAATAGTTACGTCATGTGATGAGAAGAAAACAGAAATGTCTACCTTAGTTAGTTGTCTACATGTTAGTTTTCCTACAGATGACTACAATACAGCTGGTGCATGATTGACTATTATCTTGTGACTATTTCACTGACTCTATTCTTGTAGCTAGTCTATATCTGACCCTCATACCTACCAAAACATAGGACTAAAACTGGTCCATGTAGCTCTGTAAAAGTATCATTGGTAAAATACACACCAAGATGCTAAGATTTAATATCAAAATTAAAACAGAATTGTGTTGCATTGTTTCTAAATCTTTGACATTTAGATTGCTATATCAGAAACGTGAGATCATAATGAAGGCCAAGAATTGCTTTCACAAGGGTGTACTATTGTTAAGAAGATACTTTCTGTGTAATGTAGTAACACAAATGAATCCTTTTAAATGAATAAAAATCTTTATAAATTATAATCTGTTGAAAACAAGTGCAACTAGATGCTGTCATGAGACAGTAATACCCGCACTAAGGTGTTTGCCTCTAAATGCACACTCCTTCATATTGGGCTTACCAAGGAAAAAGTCCAAATAATTCTATAATTTACACAGTACATGTATTCGTCAAATCGAGCATAAAATGCTCAGGTGACCATGTGACCCATGAACCTCTTATACGCATTTCATATACTTAATTCATTACCAGTCTGAAATATCAGAATTTAATTAATGTTGTAAATTAGGTTTTAATAAAAAGGGGGGGATATAAATTTTTGGCCCATAATTGGAACTTTTTAAATTAAATTTATCTTCTCAACAACAAATAATATTATTTTAGTACAAAGCGTTTTTGATGAATTTATCAAAATGTGCAAACTTTTTTTAGTATTTGATTAGGCAAAAACCTCCTTGAAAAGCCATACCCAATCAATTTATATGTGTCCCCCCCCCCCCCCACCCCCAAATACACACACACACAATTTGCCTGTTTTTGGAAATAGGCCTAGATGGCAAAGTTATGTTAAAACATCGTTTGTTATGATAATTTAAAATTTGTTCTTGTACTGTACATGTATGTGAACACCTTTTTGAAAATTTCTACATCACATTGGGCTTGCGTCACCCTACCAGTACTAGTACTAGTTTTACCATTATCATTTTTAGATTGCACATGCCATGTGACATGGTGCAGTGTAACATGTATATCAGTGGAAATTAATTCATTTTGTGTTTTAATTGGATTATATTTCATGAAGTTGACAGGACCTATGACAGTCGGTAAGTACAAGTTTAAGTATAGATTGGGGTAAAATAAACCAAAATGCAAATGGTTAGGTTAAAGTTTAAAAAGGATCAAAGATCATCGGCAATCTCCTATGCAGAGTTGTCGTTCGTTTCTCTCTCAGACACTGAATGTATGAGCCGATCGTAGAGAGTGGATCATCAATGCCACAATAGACGAATTTCACATTCTGAAGAGTTATCTCCCGTTGTCGACATTACATTCAGTTACAGGCATAGATCCGGGAATTTTTTTCCGGGGGGGGGAGGGGGGTCCACACCTCGGTCCAAAAAAATTCCAGCCCAGAATTTCCTGAGGAGCAAAATAAAAAAAAAACAAACAAACAAACAAAATAAAAACAATGATGGTGGGGTCCATGTTTTTAAAGGGGGAGGGCATCCAAAGTCATTTTTTATTTGCTTCTGTAAATCAGTATATAGTCCTATTTAAATAACTCTGCAAATTCCAGGGGGGGGGGGGGGGTTCCAATCTCCTTAGCCGCTCCCTGTCCCTGAAATGACAAATGATCATGCGACTCCTAAATAGTAGAAAATTTTTCCATTTGACTAGACATAATTTTGTTTCTTGTGTTATTATGTTATGTACATCTAATGGTTTAAGGTTATGAACCCTTGAGGTCATCCCCACTCTCTTGTTCATAATATGACTACATCAAATTAAATAGAAGTGCATCAATGATAAGATTACTTGACATTTCATTCATGAATTTGGGTCAACCTAGAATTAGGAATGAAAATCATTCAAAGAGATGGACCATTAAACTATTTGTATGTATTCACATTTTTTTTATGTCAAACCAAAGTATTAGACTAGTTTGCATACATGAACAAACTGGGGTCTGGGAAGGGGAAGGGGCAAGGGGAAGGAGTTATCTCTTTACGTCTTAATTAATTGTTGAAAATTCTTAAAATGAATGTTAACCTTAAATCCGACTTGTACGTCTTCATTATTTTTAAGTGGTGGTGTCTCCGTATGAGTGAAAAATTCCCAAGAGGGACATTTAACAACAAACAAACATTAATGACTTAAAAAACACAATATACATGTACATCTTTATTAGTCAATGGATATACTTCTGATCATATCTCTAGTTCTCCCTTGAATCAGAAATGATGATATAAATATTTTAAGAATGATTAAGAGTTGAAAAGGTTGTGCATTTTAAAATTCACTAAGCTCTGTGGTTGAATTAGCTATACCAGTTTAGCTTATTTTGCTACTCAAAGCACCTTGATTAGCTATTTTTAATCATACTGTTTTCTGAAATGTGAAGTTTTTTCAACATGGATACAAGTCATACCTTTTCAGCTTCTGAAAACAATTAATGCATGAAAAAAAACTGCTTTTCAAATACTGTAACTCTTTCCAAGTACTTGTGATCATCAGTTTTTAGCTCACTTGAGTTTTTCTGATTTACTGATCACATTTTGTTTGTCATTCTTCTGTCCGCCTGTAAACTTTTCACATTTTTGTCTTCTTCACTAGAACCGCCGGGCCAATTTCAACCAACCCAGCCACAAAGCATCTTTGGGTAAAGGGGATTCAAGTTTGTTCAAGTGAAGGGTCACACCCTCTTTCAAGGGGGGATAATCAAGAATTAGTGAAAATTTGGTGGTATCATTTTAAAAAAGTCTTATCAAGAACCACTGACTGGGCCCAAAAAGTTGAAACTTTCTTTACATAGACAGTGTAGCTTCAAATTTGTTAAAATTATGACCCACTAGGGTAGGATGGGGCCACATATGGGGATCCAATGATTTACATAGAAAAATGCAGGGGATTTTTTCCATCATAAATCTTCTTCTCATGAATAGCAAGGGCATTATTGTCGTCCGTTTTCACAAAAGGGACCTAGGGGACATTAAATCTCATTTGTCTGTCAGTCTGTCCGTTTGTCAGTCTGTCCGTCTGTCACAATAAATTTAACCTTGGTCATAACTTCTGAATAATAAGAGATAGGGATTTCATATTTCACATGTACATTACCTACAAGAACTTTCTAAACATACCATGATTTTTGAACCCATGACCTTGACCTTGAAGTCTGACCTACTTTTCAAAAAATTTAACATTATTTCAAATGATCATTTTGAAAGAGAAAAGATAGGGCGTTCATATTATACATGTATATTACCTGTGACAAGACCTTTCTAAATATATCATGACTTTTGACTCTGTGACATTGACCTTGAAGTTTAACCTACTTTTCAAAAATGTTATATTTCCTTATAACTTTTGATTGAGAAGAGATAGGACTTTTATATTTGACATGTACATTACCTGTAACAATATGTTTCCAAGCATGCTATGATTTTTTACCCCTTGACCTTGATGTTTTACCTAATTTTCAAAAATTTTAACTTTGGTGATTACTTTTGAATGACATATGATAGGGCGTGCATATTTGAAACAATATGTCATAAATAATGGCATCCCATCCACTAGGACACGGAAAGCAGGGGACCACAATTCTTTGAATTTGCTTGTTAGTCATTTTGATATGGAAACATCCTCATATAGTGTAGATTCAAGTTTTTTATGCCCTGCCATGAATATGGCCGAGGCATATAGTGTTTGTCATGTCCGACTTCAATAAAACGTCATATGCTGATACATACTGATGTAAGCTTTTCAACTGCATCAAAATTTTTGACCTTGAATTTTCCTTTGACCTTGACCTTACTTTTCTTAAATTAGTGTCTAGATCAGTTTTGAATAAACAATTCAAGATATATTTATCAAACTTCATATGCTGATATAATTATACTGCTGAGAGATATCAATTGCATCAACTTTTTTGACCTTGACTTTTCCTTTGACCTTGACCTCACTTTTTTAAATTAGTGTTTAGGCCAAACAAAAAAATATGTGTGGTTCCGGTTACACTTCCAAAAAAATTAGGGTAGGTAGGTAAGGATTTTTATTTTTTATTTAGTCATTTTTTGACCCCCATTTGACCCCCAGGGTGAAAATGAAAATTCCGAAACCTTACTGCACATCTACTTCATATGCTGATATAATTATACTGCTGAGAGATATCA